GGGGGGGGGGGAGCTGCGGGTCCTGTCCCTGGGCTCCTGCCCGGGCTCCCCGAGCCTCAGCAGAGGTGGGGGCCAGCGTGCAGCTGTCCTTCCCGTGCTTGGCACAGGGTGTGGGGAACAACCCGCTCCTCCCAGAGCCCAGGGCAAGAGCACAGGTGACGTGACGTGTGTCCCAGGTACCTGAGCTCAGTGCTGAGGTCGCCCTGCGTCCCTGGGGGCCTTTGGGGTCTGGCGAGAGGCTGGCCTCGTGCTCCATCACGTGGGCCCGATGGCACGACCCCAACCCCTGTCGGTCGGATTCCCCCGAGATGAGGGGATTCCCTGCTGAACTTTCCCAGCTGAAAATACAGCCGCCCAACGCTCGCCCCCTGACCCCGAAGGGGAGGGCGCTCCCGGCTCGAACACGTCAGCCGGCTGCCTGGGGACGACCTTGCCCCCGTCCCCGAGGCTGGCGCCCGGTCTGTGCAGAAACTGGACCGCGGACGCATTCTCCCGGAGACGCCTCGGGATGCTGCTTCCGGGGAAGCGGGCGTTCCCTCTGGGCCAGCACGCGGGGTCGTGGACGCCCACAGCCTTTGCGAAGTGGGTCCCTCCCGGGGGTTGAATGCTGCTGCCCGAAATTTATGTCCCTTGGAGCATGTGAAGGGAACCTTACTTGGACAGGGTCTTTGTAGGTGTGAATCAGTGAAGGATCTGAGATGAGCCCATCCTGGGTCGGGCGGCCCGGATTGCAATGACTAGGGTCCTTTTAAGAGACAGGAGGGGACACACAGACACAGAGGAGAAGCCACGTGAAGACAGATGCATACACGGGAGGGACGCGGCCACGAGCCCAGGGGCGCCTGGAGCCCCAGAAGCTGGAAGAGGCAGGAAGGACCCTGCCCTGGAGCCTCTGGAGGGAGCACAGCCCTGCCTGGATCTCCGTGGCCCTGCCCCTCCTGGATCTCAGTGACCCTGCCCTGCCTGGATCTCAGGGGTCCTGCCCCTCCTGGATCTCAGTGGCCCTGCCCCTCCTGGATCTCAGTGGCCCTGCCCTGCCTGGATCTCAGTGGCCCTGCCCCTCCTGGATCTCAGTGGCCCTGCCCTGCCTGGATCTCAGTGCTCCTGCCCTGCCTGGGTCTCAGCAGCCCTGCCCCCCCAGATCTCAGTGACCCTGCCCTGCCTGGATCTCAGCAGCCCTGCCCTGCCTGGGTCTCAGTGGCCCTGCCTGGATCTCACTGGTCCTGCCTGGATCTCAGTGGCCCTGCCCCTCCTGGACCCAGTGGTACTGCCCTGCCTGGATCTCAGAGGTCCTGCCCATCGTGGATCTCAGCAGCCCTGCCCCTCCTGGATCTCAGCAGCCCTGCCCCGCCTGGATCTCAGCGGCTCTGCCCTGCCCTGCCTGGATCTCAGTGGTCCTGCCCCTCCTGGATCTCAGCGGCCCTGCCCTGCCTGGATCTCAGCGGCCCTGCCCTGCCTGGATCTCAGGGGTCCTGCCCCGCCTGGATCTCAGCAGCCCTGCCCTGCCTGGGTCTCAGTGGCCC